GTTGAAGCTCAGACCATTGCCCTCAGCCCATTGAGGACTTGAGGCTCCTCACCCGCTGAGGAGCCCTGGGCTGAAAATCTGCTCCTGGCAGGGGGTGGAGAGCGTTTTCGACATCATGGAGATGGAGGACGAGGACCGCAACGCCCTCCTGCAGCTGTCGGACGCCCAAATTGCCGACGTCGCCCGCTTCTGCAACCGCTACCCCAACATCGAGCTGTCCTACGAGGTGGTGGAGAAGGAGAGCATCCGCAGGTGAGGCGGGGACGGGCGGCGCGACCCCCCCGGTGTTTTTGGGGGGACGCCCTAACCCCCAGTTCTGGTTCTGTCCACGCAGCGGGGGGCCCGTGGTGGTGCTGGTGCAGCTGGAGCGCGAAGAGGAGGTGACAGGCCCCGTCATCGCCCCCCTTTTCCCCCAGGTAGGTGACATTGGGGTGACAGAAATCAGGGAGGGACGCCGTCCCGTGCTGTCCCCGACCCCGTTAACTCCTCAACCCCCGCAGAAACGCGAGGAGGGCTGGTGGGTGGTGATCGGCGACTCCAAATCCAACAGCCTCATCTCGATCAAGCGCCTGACGCTGCAGCAGAAAGCCAAGGTGAGCGGGACAGGGAAGGGGGTGTCCAGCACCCAAACGGGGCACAATTTGGGGGTGTCAAGGGGTTGAACACCCCATCCTTCCTCCGTGGCCCAGGTCAAGCTGGATTTCGTGGCGCCGGCGACGGGGACGCACAACTACACGTTGTATTTCATGAGCGACGCCTACATGGGCTGTGACCAGGAGTACAAATTCAGCGTGGACGTCAAGGAGGCCGAGAGCGACAGCGACTCCGATTAATGGGCCCCCAAAACCACCACCGACCCCCTCCCCGCCCCGGTATCGCCCGTGTCGCCTCCCTTCGTGTGGCTCCCTGGCTCCCATGTGTTTTCCCCTTGGTTGGTCCCTTTTTGGAGGTGCTGAGGCGTTGTACAGTGGTTTTTTTTAGACAGGAGCGTGGCTGGAATAAACCTCGAGCCCCATCTCGCCCTCTGCCTGCTGGGTTTGGGGGGCAAAACCTTTGGGGAAAGGGAGCGCGATCGCCTCCGGTTTTACCCTGAGGAGCTCTGTGGGCCTTAAAGAAGTTCATTAACACAACTAATTAAGGCAGGGGTAGCTTGGGAGCTGGTTTTGGGAGCGCTGTGCTTCACCAAGAGGCTTAAAATCAGCTCTGTCCGCCCAGGGCAGCGCCTGGGCCCTGTTTTTGGGAGGTGACACCACAGGGACAAGGCAAAAGCTTTGAACGTGGATTTATCGAGGGGGGAGCAGCTGCCCCAGCTCCCAAAGCCACACGGATCCCACGTGCACCCCCCCAAAGACCCCAAAGTCCCAATGTGGGGGGCAGAGGAGCGCAGTCACCACCTTCCCTGTGCCAGAAGGGTCCGGAGGGGCGGAAAAAGGTCAAAACCGCTCCCGGTTTCAGCAGAT